AGATCAGAAGATTCTAGACTCGTAGGGCGCCGAGAGGTGAACAACCACAGTGAGACAATCAACACAACTGGTAGTAAAACAGTTGAAATTACTGCGGATGTTGTAAATGGGCGTAAAGTTACATGCATTTAGGAAAATAACATTAACCAAGGGTGAGCGCGCATACAAATAAAATAAAGAGGTCCAGTTCAGTCCCTTTTGCAGTGTATATAAAGTCTATTCAAGTCCCAGGTCAGTTCAATGTCTTTTTCAGTTCAATGTCTTTGTTCAGTGTCCTTTTCAGTTCAATGTCTTTGTTCAATGTCCTTTTCAGTTCAATGTCTTGTGACCAGTTCGGTCACTAGTTACCACTTTGTTCGATTCCTTGGGCAGGGCTCGCCATCCAGTACTGGAGAGAGGTCTGTTCTTGCTGTTGTAGAGCAGCTTCGATTTGAATCCAACCAAAATAACCTGACCAATGCAAGGCAAAGGTGTGGGTTCCCAATTCTCCGTTGGCGCACAGCTTTCCCTCAGCTCAATACCTCCGTTTCACACGGTTCTTAAGCTCGGTGTGTTGCAACCAAATGCGGCTCTTAAGCATCTGATACAATGTCCAGAGCGCGAACAGGATGTTTGGTGTCCAAGGAGGGACAATTAACCTTATTGGTTAATGTGAGAGAATAACAATTCAACTGGTTGGCTGCACGCATTGTCACAAAACACAATGTTGTAATTGTACCGGTGCTCTCAGCACTTTTCAACGCCTCCCAATGATTTCCCAGTGAACCCGCTTCCAACCTAAACTAGCTCCCAATCGTACTGTGAAACTAGCAGCCATACAGGGCCCCATCTGCTCTTAGCACTGGGTTACATTTACTATTCACAGACTGACCTTCAGATGGCGGTAATTTCACTGCAAATTCACTACATTACAAATTTGTTTAAGCTGTCAGTCATCTACTGTGCCTTACCTGGATCAAAGTTTCACTGACTCAACACAAATTTGACATACTCTACCAAACTTAATATGGTGGGGCTAGCAAAGGTTGATCAATAAATCAAATAAACCAACCAAACAACATATATATATATATATATA